TATTTACTTGACAGAGAGAGAGCGTGGGAGAGAAAGCACAAGCAGGGGGAGTGGGAGAGGAAGAAGCAGGCTTCCCGCTGAGCAGAGAGCCCGATGCGGGGCTCGATCCCAGGACCCTGCGATCATGACCTGAGCTGAAGGCAGACACTCAACCTACTGAGCCACTCAGGCACCCCTTCTCTGTTGGTTCTAAAACATTCTCATCACCCGAAAGGAAGCTCCTATCCCTTAGCACCCCTCATTCCTGTCACCTGGCCCCAGGCTCCCACTAATCTACTTTCGTGCTGTCTGGATTTCCGGACATGGTATATAAATGGCTTCATGCAACGTGTGACCATTGGCCACTGGCGTCTTTCACTCAGCATCATGTCTTTCAGCTTCATCCATGTTGCAGCAGGGATCGATAGTACATTCCTTTCTATGGCTGAAGGATGTACATTTATTTATTTATGTATTTTTAAAGATTTTATTTGTGAGAGAGAGAGAGTGAGAGAGCGAGTACAAGCAGGGGGGCAACAGGCAGGAGGGAGAGGGAGAAGCAGGCTCCCCACTGAGCAGAGATTTTTTTTTTTTCCCCCCACTTGGGGCTGGATCCCAGGACACTGGGATCATGACCTGAGCCCAAGGCAGAGGCTTTAACGCACTGAGCCACCCAGGTGCCCCCAGTTGAGACTTTTGAAAGAAAATGTTACTTTTAGAAAAACCAATTTTGTTGGTCATTTAGTGCCCAAGTTTTTGTATTTAATAACATCTTTATCAAGATATAATTTATATACCATATAATTCAAGTATTTAAAATGTCCGAATCAGTGGTTTTCCATCTGTCCACATAGTTGGGCAAACATCACCACAGTCAGTTTTAGGACATTTTTATCACCCCCCCCCCCCCCTCCCCAAACGTCTCCACACCTGTTTGGCCATCCTTATTGTGTTTTAGGATCTTAAGTAGTCAGTCCACTGGACTGGCTGGCGGAGATTTAAGTGGCTCTGACTTTCTACTGCTTCACTTTTTCCACCTGTAATTATAGATGAAATTGGCCAGTTCTGTAACACTACCTGCCTGTGGGCACTTAAAGGAAGTGTTTAATGGGCATGATCTCATTTAAGGCTCAGATCAGCCCCATGGGCTAGCTACTGTTTTTGTCCCCAGGTCACAGATGGGGAAACTGATACACTCAGAGAAGCTAAGAGGCCTGAGGCCCAGGAAGGATTTAAACCACAAAGTCTTCCCTTAATTTTGTTGTGTGGAGGGGCGCCTGGGTGGCTCAGTGGGTTAAGCCTCTGCCTTTGGCTCAGATCATGATCCCAGGGTCCTGGGATCGAGCCCCGCATCGGGCTCTCCGCTCGGCGGGGAGCCTGCTTCTTCCTCTCTCTCTGCCTGCCTCTCTGCCTACTTGAGATCTTTGTCAAATAAATAATTAAAATCTTAAAAAAAAAAAAATTTGTTGTGTGGATAGGGGCGACGGAGTTCAGGTTTTCTAGGCTGGAGTGGCTAGGGCTGTGATTCCCGACTACCTGCCCAGCAGTCCTCCCACAGGGGTCTTCACATAATGGGACCTTGTGCCAGGGTTGGGAGGAGAGGCAGAGGGACGAGGGAGGCTGTCCAGAGAGGGGGAGGGATTGGGTGTCTGTTCCCCTCTCACGTCCCCCACTGTCACAGCAGATTCTCTGCCAACTGGGCTTCCCCTAAAAGCTGACCCGAGCCCACCTGTTGTTCCAGGAGCCCTGGTTAGGAAGGAACCAGCACTTTCCAGAGCAGGCCAGGATTTCCAACAAAGTTCAGGGATGCCCCCTGGTGGATCTGCACTCCTGATGCAGAAACAAAGTTGTTCACGTCCCAGTCGCTGAGGGTGGCAATCTTTTTTTTTCCATCCTAGTGTGTGATCTCAAGTCAATGGCGCAGGGGTGGGAGTTGGGGGGATAGGAACCTGGGCTGTGGATTAGATTGAATTGGCTTTAAATTCTAGTTCTCCGGCTCATTCACTGGGCATTTTGGGTCTAGTTAGTTGTCTGAGCCTCATTTTCTCATCCATCAAATGGGTATAAGTGAAATTCTACCACACAGAACCGCAGTTAACTTAAGATAAGCTGCGTGTGCTCTGGAAACATTAGCTCTTCTAATTGTAGAGGATATTCTGGAGGATTTGAGGCAATCCCATAATCTCTGGGGCATTGGTTTCCTCATTTCTAAGATAGGGACAGTCCTACCTCGCGTCTGGGGTGGTTGTAAAAATTAGATATTGAATCCAGAAGATAGTAACAGGCAAGGGTTCCTATGTGCATAAGGGGCTACTTTTATTATTCAGTTCCTGCGATGTGAAGGGCACTGTGTGTTTATTCAACAAATATTGACCCTGGGCCTGTTACAGGGCAAGCTCTGCACCGAGCTGGGGATAGAGCACCAAACCAGATGGGAATAGTACTCACATCAGCATGTAATTGTCAGGAGGATTTTGTCTAGTTCAAGGGTTGGCAAGCTTTCCTGGAAAGATCTAGAGAGTAAGTGTTTTGGGCTTTGCTGGCCGTTCAGTTTCCTGTCGGCTTTGCAGCTGACCTGGTGTAGAGTGGAAAGAGCCAGAGACATTATGTGAACCAGAGTGTGGCTGGGTGCTAATAAAACTTTATCTGTACGGGCGCCTGGGTGGCTCAGTTGTTAAGCTTCTGCCTTTGGCTCCGGTCATAATCCAGGGTCCTGGGATCGAGCCCCACATGGGGCTTCCTGCTCAGCGGGAAGCCTGCTTCTCCCTCTCCCACTCCCCCTGCTTGTGTTCCCTCTCTCACTGTCTCTCTCTCTCTCTGTCAAATAAATAAGATCTAAAAAACAAAACAAAAAACCGACTTAAAAAAAATATAAAACTTTATCTGTGGGTCCAGAGATTTGAGTTTTGTATCATTTTCATATCACAAAGTATTCTTCTTTTGACTCCCCCCCACCCCATGCTCCACCACTTAAAAACATAAAAACCAGGGCGCCTGGGTGGCTCAGTTGGTTAAGCATCTGCCTTCAGTTTAATGATCCTGGGGTTCTGGGATCGAGCCCTGTGTTGGGCTCTCTGCTCAACAGGGAGTCTGCTTCTTCCTTTCCCTCTCCTGCTCCCTCTGCTCATGCTCCCTTGCTCTCTTTGTCAAATTAAAAAAACAAAACAACACATAAAAACCATCTGTAGCTCAGGGGGCATACAAAAACAGGTGTGGGGGGCCAGATTTGCCCATGGGGCTGTCATTTCTTGGTCCCTTTTGTGTAGTTTGCTCTTCATTCTTGGAGTTGCTTTGAACAAGGTGATTACCTGTTTCTGGTTCTTCTCTTTTTTTTTCTGGCTTACATATTTCTCCTTTTTTTTTTTTTAAGTAGGCTTCACGCCCAGTGTGGAGCCCCATGCTGGGCTCAAACTCATGACCCTGAGACCAAACCCCGAGCTCAGATCAGATGCTTACCCGACTGAGCCGCCCAGGTGCCCCTCGTTTACACATTTCTAAGTTTCTGTGGACTGTGTATTTGTCATTGAGCTAATGGGGAATTGTGGTCTTTCCTTACCAGATGGCACACTTCTCATTCTAGTCATGATGCTTATTTTGTGTCCTGACAGACGGGAGGTGGCAGCTTTCATCATAAATCACCAAGAATTTGGCAATCTGCTCTGTGTCTGTCTTCTCCCCTTTCACCGCCCTTCCACTGAACTTTGCTTGTTCCTTCTCCATTGGCTGAAGTTCTCGAGCTATTATTCCCATCTTTTTTTTTTTTTAATTTCTATCTTACAGATGGGGACGCAGAGTCCCCGGGAAGGTTGTGATTTCCTTGAAGCCTTGTTTTTTTGTTTGTCTTGTTTTTGTTTTGGAGAGAGAGAAAGAGAGCAAGGGACGGGGGACGGGGGAGAGGGAGAGGGAGACAGAGAATCTGAAGCAGGCTCCATGCCCAGCATAGAGCCCAAAGTGGGGTTTGATCTCACCACCGTGAGATCAGGACCCGAGTGGAAATTAACAGTCAGACGCCCAACCGACTGAGCCACCTGGGCACCCCACCTTGAAACTTCATTAGTTGCTAGGGGTCCCAGGGCTGGCACTGAATGCTCCCATCTCCCCGTCTTGAGCTTGTTTCCTTCTCTCTGGGAGGCAGTGGGAGACACACAGCTCATTCCTTTTAGTTCAGACGTTGTTCGTATGAGAAGTCATATGTCATTTACTGTACAGGACAGCCAACATTCGTTTATTTGTTCCATAAATAGGTACTGAGTTCCCACTCTGTGCCGGTCTCTGTGTAGATCCTCGGGGCAAAGTAGTGAGCAAGATAGACAGGACTTCTGCTCTGGTGACAGTTACGGAATGGTAGGGACGAATGACAACAGAGGAGACAAGCATTACTTAGGAATTATGGTTACTGTCAGAGGGTAATGGGGGGGACCCATGCATTTATGCGCCAGGCACTGGGCCAAGGAGTTCTGTGACCATCATCTGATTTAATCCTCGCAACTAGCCTATGAAAGGAGATGGAAGGATGAAGACACAGAAGTTCAGAGAAGCCCAAGTGATTTTCCTGGCCCCATAAACTAGGGAGGCAGATGACCAAACAGCTAATTTTCTGTGGAAATAAGGACTATCCTAATGCTGTGAATAAGCAGAAGGACCTTGAGGGCTATGCCAGGAGGATCTTCGGTAGGCCGTGGGGAGCACTGAAGGAGGGGTGTCCATGGTCAGGTCTCTGTTTCAGAAAGCTCACGCTGGCAGCACCGTGGAGGATGGATAGGAGAGGGGAGCCTGAGGACCCGTTAGAAAGTTCTGGAGGTTGTCTTGAAGAGTAGTAAGGGAGGACTGGACCAGCGTGGAGTCTGTGGTGGTGGAGGGAAGCTGATGGCTTGGAGAGAGAGAGAGTGAGGAAAACCGACCGGATCAGGTAATAGAGCAGATGTGGCATACAGGTGAGGCGAGTTTCATTGCTTCGGATCCCCAGTGGCCTCCAGCTCCTGAGCCCCCAGGAGCCACCAGCATGTGGATTCTGCCTCTAGGTAGCCGGCGGCTGGTGGACGTGATGGACGTGAACACCCAGAAGGGCACGGAGATGAGCATGTCCCAGTTTGTGCGCTACTACGAGACGCCGGAGGCCCAGCGGGACAAGCTGTACAACGTCATCAGCCTCGAGTTCAGCCACACCAAGCTGGAGCACCTGGTCAAGCGTCCGACTGTGGTAGGGCCCCTGGCCACCATCCCCTCTCCGATGCCACCCCCCTCCTCTCCTCGCCCAGCTTCTGGGCCTCTGCCAGCCCCGGAGCGGGGTGGGTGTGGCAGGTGGGTGAGGGAGCCCGGCGGACGGGCGCTGCCCCGGACAGGAGGTGCTGACAGCGGTCCGGCTTTCAGGTAGATCTGGTGGACTGGGTGGACAACATGTGGCCCCAGCATTTGAAGGAGAAGCAGACGGAAGCCACGAATGCCATCGCCGAGATGAAATACCCGAAAGTGAAGAAGTAAGACTGCCTGGCTAGTGGTGGGAGCTGGGCGGGCAGGGACGTGGGGTGGGGGGGTTGTCTCACAGCCCTGCGGGTGCTGCTGGGACGTGAGGAATGGGGGTCCTTGGCATCGGCAGCCTGGCATCTTGCTGCCTTGGAACGCTGGGGCTCTGCCTTCCCCCTCCAGATGGGCCTTCGGCCTCCCTGTTGGCTCTCCCCAGGAGCATGTGATCTGGGGTGAGGGGAGGGGGAGGAAGAATAATGGGACCATCTCTGCGTGCGTGTGTGCGTGCGTGTGTGTGTGTGCATGTGTGTGTGTCTGTATGTGCTTGTCGCACCCTTATTTCCTCCCACCAAGGGACAGCATGGCCTGGGATCAGGCATCTTCAGAGAGACCCGCTCACCGTGGACACTTTGCTTTTGCTAGTGTTGGGGGGGCGGGTAGCCTGGTGTTCTTTTGTTCCTTGCTGCGGAGACCCAGGGCTTTTCCCAAACAAAGAGCAAGGGCTACTTATTCATCATCAAACACCCTTAGACGGTGTCTCCACGCAGCAGCTGGGCTCTGGGCTGGGAAGGTGGCCGCGTCTAATGCAGGGACATCATTCCATGTGGACCAGTAAGTCCTGACACCCATCGTTTAACTTGGGCAGAGGCACCTGCGATCCCCTCCACTTTCTAGAATTTCAGTAATGGACCCTTGGGACCCATGGGGCTGCCTTAGAGCTCTCTCCATCCCAGGCTGTCTGTGTTTCCGTCTCTGAAATGGGAAGGAGATGCTGGCCGTCCCGGGCAGCACTGCTGCTCTGGGCTTCCTAGAAGAGTTGGCCGGGGCGGCTCCAAATCCATTAGCATCTCCGCTCTCAGCCCTGCTGCTAGGAGTGCCTCCAGGAGCCCGAAGGCTGTGAGCTTTTCATTCACTGCACCCTTCATTCAGGTCACAGTGAATATGCAGACTTCGTGCCAGACTTCGTGAGGGAGGCCAGCGCACTGGCCCCGAGCTGCTCGAGGCTTTGCTTTCAAGCTCTCTCTTTCTTTAATTATTTCTCAGGCATTTTTCCTCCCCTTGAAGCTGAAGCTCCTTACATCCCTTGGATCTGGGCTATATCAGACACAAAGAGTGGGTTCAGGGTGGGGAGGGAGAGGAGGGTTTTCAGTTCTCTTCCTTTTCCATTCCACTGCGGCAAAATTTCCCGAGCCCCTGGGATGGGGAAGGAAAGGATGAACGAGACTGGGAGCCCTTACCCTCTGGAGGATGTGTCATAAAACACACGAGATGAAGTGCAGCTTTCATCCTAGGTCGAAGGAGGCAGGCTCTGGGGAGGGGAGCAGGGAGAGGAAGAATCGTTTTTGGCTGGTGGCATTGTGGGACATCGGACCCGGGCTTTAAAGGGTAGAGGGGATGGGAGGAATGTGGGGAGGGGGGGGGGTAGTGAAGTGCCAAGGGCCTTGAAGGAATCATGAGGGGACAGCTGGAGGAAAGAGTGTGGGATGCAGAAATTAGTGAGGGCTGGATCACAGCTGCCATTGATTGATTGGGTGATTGATTGATTCATTCATTAATTCAACATGTGTATTAAACATCTGATTGGTGCTGGGCACTGGACCTATGGTGAGGGGAAAACCAAATGAGCTCCCTGCCCTGACAGAGCTTACAGACTCTCAGGAGATAAATGTTCATCCAGCGATCTGAGAGAGAAATGGAAATTTACAGCCGTGTTGAGGCCACAAGGCAGAGATCTGTGGGGTTAGGGGAGCGTGTACCCTGGTACTCGTAGTCAGGGAGGGCAGGGCAGGTGTCCCCAAGATGGGATCTGAAGAGAGAGGGGTTACTTAGGAGAAGAGACCTGGGAAGAGCTTTCCTGGCTACATGCAGAGAGCCTGGTATGATGGTTAGGAAAGGGGGGGAGAGGGGGACAGGTAGACCTGTGGAAGGAAGGTTAGTGAGTCTGGAGCAGAGGAAGGAAAGAGGGTAGTGGGTGCAGGGTGGTGGGTGGGCCAGGCTGATCAGGGCCCAAGGTGCCATAGTGAAGGGTCTGTGTTTCTCCAAAGACCAGTCAGAAACTTCTGTGAGATCTTTGTTTTTTTAAAGATTTTATTTATTTGACAGAGCAAGCAAGTGAGAGAGAGAGCAAAGAAAGGAAGAGGGAGCAGCAGAGGGAGAGGGAGAAGCAGGCTCCTCGCTGAGCAGGGAGCCCAGGGCAGCACTGGATCCCAGGACCCTGAAATCATGACCTGAGCCGAAATGAAGAGTCAGTTGCTCAACCCAGTGGGCCACCCGGGAGCCTCTCTCCATGAGATTTTAAGCAGAGATGGGTGTGTTCAGATTTGCTTTATGCAAGTTCTGGAGCTGTGTGGTTTGTAGGAGCTGGGAGTAGAGTGATAGGAGAAACCGGTGCATCACCTCTATGAGGGCAAATGATGGGCCAGGAGGGAGCAGGGAACAAATGGGACATGTATCTAGGAAGGTAAAATAGTGCTGGGGGACATCAATCTCAATTACTTTGCCTCCTTCCGATGTTTGATATATTCTTGGCTTTATTGAAAAATTCCTCTAAGTAGTTTAATTCTATTAATACATTGAGAATCCTATCTAATTACCAAAAAAAGGCTCACACACAATTTTCTAGAACCACTTGCTTCATCCCATTGGTTGGATCGTGTGGCAAATAGATTTACAAGCCCCGTCCGTGGCTGTGGGAATTTGTTACAGGATTTGAACCTTGTTAGGAAGGAAGTTGTCACCTTGGAAATAGTCTGTTGGTTTTGCTGAAAAGAATGCTGATTTCAGTTAATCAGGAAGGTAAAAATCCCACAGTGATGAAGTCCTCTGGGGCCATAGAGTGGTTCTGTGGAATTTAATTAATATGACACTGTTTCTGGAAGTCAGAGCTTCTACCCTGATGGGCCACCTGAATTGAGGTTTGCAGGAGGGAAGAGAGGAAGGTTACAGATCCATTACTGCCTTGTCTCTGGCTCCAGAATTGTGCCATCTGATCATGGCGAGGGGTTCAGAATTTTAATGGGGTTGGTTGAGATACTTAAAGCTAGGAGTGCTGACGTTTGTCAAGGGGGTAGCTGTAACTTTGTGGGAGACAAAAGATGTAATGGTTACATTAGTGTATTAGCAATCTGTTACTGCCTTTAATGAGTGCCCATAAATCCAAGACCCTGTTGTGAGTAGTTGGTAGGCTACAGTGACTGAAGCAAAGTCCCCATGCTCAGGGGGCTTATGTTCGGGTGGGGAAAAGAGATGGGCAAGCAAACCCAAGTGGTAAGTATTTTTTTAATTAAGGAAGTTATAAGTATTGGGAGGAAACATAAAGCAAGATAAAGGGGGGCAGTGCCTGGCTGACTCAACTGGTGGAACATGGGACTCTTGATCTTGAGGTCGTGAATTCGAGCCCCATGTTGGGTGTAGAGATTACTTTAAAAAAAAAAAAAAAGACAAGATAAAGAGAAAAGAGGATGACAGGGCTGGTTGAATATATATCGGCTGCCCTGGGCACTTCTGCCATTGCCTTCTCTCTGTCTCTACCTTGCAGGAATGTTCTGGCTGACTAGAGTCATTTGTCTTAGAAAATTCCTTATAATAGATAAACAGTGACAACTGTTTTGGGAATATTCCTGTATCAGTTTATTAATGCATAAAATTATCCTAAAACTTTATAGCTTAAAAAAAAAAAATCTTGACAGTTTAAAGCAACAAACATTGCCTCCCAGTTTCTGTACATCAGGAAACTGGGACTGGCTTACCGGGCTCAGAGTGGCTGGTGAGCTTGTCTCAAGGTGGGGGCCTGGGCTGCGCTCATACGAAGGCTTGACCGGGGCTGGAGGGCCCACTTCCAAGAGGGTACGCCCTCATGGCTGTTGGCTAGAGGGCACCGTTCTTCATTGTGTGGGCCTCTCCATAGGGTGACTTGAGTGTCCTTGTGGCATGGCAGCTGGTTCCCCTCCACCACCACCCCACAGATGGTTGGAGAGAGAGCAAGGAAGAAGCCACAGTGTCTGTGATGACCCAGTTTTGAAAGTCACATGCTGTTTACTTCTGTCATATTCTTTTTTTTTTTTTAGATTTTTTATTTATTTATTTGACAGACAGGGATCACAAGTAGGCTGAGAGGCAGGCAGAGAGAGAGAGGTGGAAGCAGGCTCCCCACTGAGCAGAGAGCCCGATGTGGGGCTCCATCCCAGGACCCTGGGATCATGACCTGAGCCGAAGGCAGAGGCTTTAACCCACTGAGCCACCCAGGCGCCCCATTGCCGTATTCTTTTAATTAAAAGTGAGGCACTTGGTCTAGCCCACACTCAAGGGAAGGGGAATTTGGCTCTATATCTGAAAGGGAGGGTGGTCTCAAGGACCCCCGTGGACATGTTTTAAAGTCTCCATAATCTCCTAGGTCTATGACATGGGCATACCTTTCTCACTTAGTACTGCTGGGTATTATGATGCATTCCAAAAGGAAATTAGCAAGTCTTTTCTGTCCTCACATGTTGCTTCCAGAAATGAGGCTTGTGGCTTAATGGAGACAAGCTGTGAACTAACAGGCAGGAAAAGGAAGGGGACCCCACATAAGACATATGTTGGGCCCCCAAAGAATTGGGAGTTAGTTGTATTTTTCTCCCTGTACTCTCTGGGGGAGGCGGGAAGAACTGGGAGAAAATTGGGGGATGCGAAGCTGAAACCCCGACAGGAAGAAAATGGGTGCTGGGATCAGCAAGTTTTAAGGCTGCCCCCCTGGGGATCTCTGGTGGCCATGGGAAATCCTTCATCTCCTCTCAGGGACTCAGTTTGCCCTTCTACAAAATGGGGATCCTGTCATTCATGCCCCACCTACCAACCACACTGTAGGGAAATGGAGCCAATAGTGGATGTGCAGTGTGGGAAGGATGTTTGTCTCTGTGGCCTCATGTAGACACAAGGTCTCCAAGTGCCATCGGAGTCCCTGGCTTTTCAATCTATTCGGGTCACATTTGCACTGGGCTTTTTTTTTTTTTTTAAGTTTTTTTTTATTTATTCA